CAAGCTTTGATTGGTCGACGCGAAATAAAGCGGAGATTAGTCAGATTTTCACGCGATGTACCCAAAAGTTGAGCCATGGCTACATACGTGATGTAGCACAACTAGGCATTGAAGGTGGAAAACGTAGGGATAGGTCACAATACAATTGTTTAGATCGAAACTATTTTCTACTATGAATAAAAAATATACCTTGGAAGTAGGGTTGAGGTGTTCCTCATTTCATCGCTGACACCTCGATGGAGAAAATATGAAATACAAAGGATTATTCATCCGGATATTTTAACAGAAATAGCTAACGTGAAGATATGATCCAACAGTGATAAAAAGGCATGACTTGTTGATATGTTAAATAACTTCGCTTGGCCATCAAGATTTCGCCGATCCTGAATTTATCTAATCCACAGGCCGATGTAATCGAAAATTGCCTGGTGATCTTCGTCCAGTAACCGGCCCATTTTGATTGGTTCCCTAGTAGCATGATAGTACGTCCAGAAATGGCGAATTGAAGTGTCTGACATTTAAAACAGGTTCCTGTCTTTTTCAACTCCATGGGTCAGTTTAACAGCTAAATACAGCCCCGTCACTTAAATTTAATTAACAACCTCGGGAAGAATCTAGCAGTAAAGCAACAGAGCCTAGACAAACGCCATATTTCAAGCCATACGGAGCTATTACTATTATTTCAGGCAACATCAGGAGCCCGGGGAGACGCAAGTTTACACCTTACTGATTGTAGCGAAATCTACTTAATTAATGTATCCGATCATTGCAGTAAAATAATAATCCGGCTTATCGACGATCCTAGATAATATGACATGCAAAGGGCCTGGATAACCCCTTCTGTCGTATGACCTAATGGCACTCATGACAATGACAGAGGTATCATGACGAACCTGAAGGTTGAATTACCTATGTTCGATCCCCGATGCAAACAAGTACTTCCTTAAGCCAGAAATATATCTGAAAAACACTAATTAGCAGATCCGGATAAGTAAATTTAATGTAACTAGGATGAGTAAATAAACCGCGCGCAAACAGATGGCATATTTAAGTTGTCACTATGCACAGTAAAGAGGACATAACGCAAAATAGTCATGATTCAGGAAAATAAATAGTGAAAACTTGTAAAACTCACGCTATGCATGATGCAAGACTACGGTAATTTGAATCCACGATGACTAAACATTGAAACCAGTTGGATTCGCTGGCGCATAGTAGCATTTGAATGTGAATTCAAGCAATTTTAGCGACAAGGCTGTGTTAATAGAAACGCTGGCATACTCGTCAGAATATCAGCTTATATGATTCACTTATAGATAAAAAATTAGCGAGTAGAAAATATTTCATCCATTTAACTTCATCAATTGGGAGTAGGTAGAGGGAGGCCAAAACGTAGCGAGGAAGGAAAAACAGCAATTATTATTTGTTCTATTTAGTCATTTTTTATATCTTCATAGGGGTTATGGGTTGCAAAATCTTTGTCAGTTGAGGCCAAGGAAGGTGGCGGCATAGAGGACAAGCTTGCGATACCAGAAGCGAATCTAGAAGATAGCGATGGCCTAGACACGAGCAATTTGCAAGGTGACATAGTAAGCAATTCTCCGAAGAGAAAATGCTGAACGACAGGAAATTTGTCAAGAACCTAAATATAAAATTATAAAAAGTGTATAAAATTATACAATTTAGCAAAATATCACATGAAATAATATACCTCTCCTTTGTACATCTTGATAAGGCCCGAATTCACTTTGTGCCAATGGGGAAGCTCACTTATGCTAGAAAGGGTACTAGAGTGCTCTTGAAAAAGCCCAATCTTCACCTAGAGATGTTATGTTAAAAATAGAAATAAAAGTATAAATGGCGTCATAAGCAACCATTATTTTACTTGGTGGATGTAATCGATACATGAGAAAAACAGATAACTATTTTTTTCGCGCTCGGATACACTTTTATCAATTATCGAAGATGGTCCATATGACGGATGGTCTATAAAAATGAGCGAGAGAACGGTTCAAAATTGGAAAGATAGATGGACTCACCATACAACTGACTACTTCCCCAAATAAAAGGAACGAATTGAAAGTCGTCTAAGCTCCAAACACCATGCGAACCAGCTGGCTCCATTCTATAAAATGTCTGCAGCCGACGAACAAGAGCAAGATATTCTGGCATTATTACTAGACCAACGCCTGTTAGATCATCTACAGGATCACTGACCCCCGAGTTACTTGCGCCAACAGTGGGCGCTTTAAGAAGTTTCATTTTAAATAGACAAAGTAGGAAAGAAATGAAAGCCAACTCGTGGCCAGTGCCATAATCAATTCGCGTTTGATTTCCAACAGACTCAG